CTAACGGGGTCTCCCTGCAGCTTTCTCCCCAGGCAGCTTTCTGGCCAAGGACACCACGCAGAGAAGGTTGAGGCTTCTCTACGCAATTGGTACGAAGGAACTGAGTATGACAAGAGACCTTTTATAGCAAAATATGTATTTTATTACTAAGTTATATACTAAAAGTAGGAAGATGTTTCTTGTTGAAATACACAACTAAAGCCACTTATTCAGAAGCATAGCTAACAGTGCAGTCTTGTGTATTTGCATTTCGGTGTAGATTCGGTATTCCCCATGTAGCGAGTATGACAATAATTGATGATGATGTGCCATCAAGTCCATGTCGCCATTCCCAATTACGTCTCTTCCGCTGGTTAGGAATCTTGGTTAATTAGGAATCCAAGGTCATCCGGAGGATACCGTATGTTAGGGGAACACATGAAGTGGCTAAAAGCCGAGAGGTGTTTTAACTGCTTCCAGGATTTCCTAAACAGTTGAGTGCTTAGTATCCCACATCAGGCCAGCAAAAAGATCGTGAGAAATCATTAGCCAGCCGAGTTTCCCACTTTGGCTTCTCGGGGTTGCCGATTGTTAACACGTCTGTCGCATTGCAAATGGGGGAGGAGAGGGGACTAGAGGTCCACACGTGCCTTTGGGAGGAACTGAGACTCCTTTGGATCAGAGCGCACTTTGATGTCTTTGCCGGGCCTGCTAAAGTAGCTGAGGGATTAGAGTCTTCGCCAGGGACGCTCTCGGGTAAAACCTCAGCGGCCAGCCCTAGGCAATGTTAAAAGATCCGCAGGAGTAAACTATTGGCGTTCAGGGCGCAGCAGGCGGTTGCGAGCGAAGAATCGGCTTCTCTAAGCCTTCCTAACACGGCTGCCGTGGCAACACTACCCCTCCCTCCGTGTAGCACAGAGCTGAATGGAAACGTCCTTTGCTCCTCTGCCATTGGCCTACAGATACCAACGTAGGCTGCTATTGGGCAGCGTAAAGGGGAGAGACCTCCTTTAGGAATGTACTATGGCTTGTCTGGTATTTTTCTCTCCTGGGGGGGGTGGGTGGGTGAGAGGGAGGGAGGGAGAGAAGAGCGGGCAATAGCTTCCCTCTCTTGCTCTGCGAGGCTAGAGGCCGCACTCGTGTGGATGGGGAGATGCAGCGTTTTAAACTTGATGGGCTAAGGCCCTGCGTGCCAAGCGAAGAGACCACCGCAGCCCACCCCGCCAGATCTGCGACGGAGGGAAGCCCAGCCTTGTGTGCATAATCCAGAGCCAGCCAGTCACGTGAAACCTGTAGCCCGCCTCCGCGGCCTTCCCCCTCCCTTGTCTGAATGTGCGGTCTTTTCTAGCTCCCCTCCACTTTTTTTCCTTCAATGAACACGCGCAAGTTTGTTCCTTAAAGCAACACTCCCCCGTTTCATGCTTTCGCGGAGCGCTATCCTCTGCTAAGATTGGCGACGCAAAACGTGGATACGCGCACCTATGTCGAGAACGTTCAAACAACAACAAAAAAAAGCTTGTACGTTCCTCGGACAAGAGTTCCCCGGTTTAAATTCTTCATGGCGGATCAAATAACCAAGATGGGCACGTGCGAAAGAAAGTTCGTCAAAATAATAGGCAATCGGGGAGAACAGAAAAAATAGGAAATCGACCCCCTTGACGTCACTTGTGACGAATTACCAAAATTAAATTGTTAGAACACGAAACGTTGGTTAAGCGCACAAAGCTTCGTACCGTTTTCTTTTAAAAGTCCAGCGTTTTGAACGCACAAAAACGGGACTGGTGGAGCATTTCCTTTAAAGCTCTTAGCGGCAGTAGTGTTACGTGTAAGCGAGTAACTCGGCTATTCCAGTTTTTAAATTCACTGTTTCAAGTATTAAGGATTTGTTGTGATCTTTTTCTTAGCACGGCTGGTTGTTCTTGTAGGAACGCAGATTTTTCTTTGATTCAAAGAGAGAGAGAGAGAGAGAGAGAGAAAGGGGGAGACCGCAGGATCCACCACCCTGTCATTATTTGTGCAGCCCTGGGAATTCAGCTTGGACCTCCCAGGAATCGTGGCTGCTTGAGGCCAAGGCGCCTCCAAAAGGACTTTCTTGAAGGGCTCCGGATATCATTTAGTCTCTTCTTTCATGCGCCTCCCCCAAACCAATTCATGAAAGAAAGAAAGAAAAAACTGTATTTTAACAGGTCGCACCGTGAAGTAATCCTGATGTGCTCTTTGTAAAAACGCCTCCCTTTTAAAAACAACAGCAGCAACGTCCTTTCCTTCTTAAAACCCAAAGCAAACTTTTCTTGAAAAGAACCGAGGGGGTAGGGAGAAAAGAGAAGCATTCCTTAATGGAAGTATTGCATGGAAAGAGGGCTGGATCTCTTTAAGGCTCCCCTGAAGTTGGAGATGCACACACACAAGGGTAGCCTGCCTGGGTGGTCTCTCTACTTTGGTGAGCTGTTGCTAAGCAGCTAATAATAGTCATGTTTGCTGAGTAATTTCTGCCCTCTTTGAGCCAATCGCAGCCCAGAAACTGAAGCCATCTGACAGCCCCAGGGGCGGGATTTCAGCTCTTTTTCCCTTTCTCTCCCCTCTCCCTTTCACCCCTCCTCCTCCTCTTTATCCAAATGGAGAGAGTTCCTTTTTTCTCCCCCTTCTTCATCTCATCTATTGAAGCAAGGGAACTGCTGCTGGCTGCTGCCGCCGCTGCACACAGCAGAGGAAGAAAGAGAGCGCGACGCACGCATCTAGGAGAGAAAGAGCGGGGGGAAAGCAGCCGGGAGAGCTCTTAGAGACAGCTCTGCGCCCAGACAGAATGGTACAGCGCACCGAGACAGAGAAGCAGCAACAGAAGCAACGGCGGCGGCGGCTCTTGTGAGATCAAGGCTTTCGCCAGGCTTCGCTGGTGTGGCGAGAAAGAGAGCTCGGGCAGAGTCCGGCTTGGCTTCCAGCAGCAGAGCGGCGAGGAGCCTGGAGAGCAACTCGAGCCGCAGGCGAAGCGGTCCGGGGAAGGAAGGCGAGCGCGCTGAGATTCCCTGGCTCCGCTTACCCGCGCACCCTGGATGTGGGAAGCAGCAGCGGCGAAGACCTCCGGATCCTCGCGAAATGTTGCAATGGAAGGCTCGGGGTCTGACTCGCCGGGAGCAGCTACAGCGGCAGCAGCGGCAGCAGCGGCAGCCAACGCCGTATGAAGCGGTCTGTCAGCAGCAGCAGCGAATCTCCGCCAACCCAGCCAGTCCCCGGTCCCTCTGGATCGTCCCGCAGCAGCAGCAGCAGCAGCAGCGCGCTGGGGGGAACCTCAGAAGACCCAGCCTTTGGGTCGCCAAAACAACAGCAGCAGCCGCGGCGGCGGCGGCTCTCTGGCGGCAACATGGCCTCAGCTGTTAATGCCTCGGAGCCGGAGAGCAGCGGCGACTGTGGTGGTGGCGGCGGCGGCGGTGGTGGAGGAGGAGGAGGAGGAGGACGAGGAGGAGGCGGCGGCGGCTGCAGAGTGCCAGATCGGCCGGGGAGAAGCGGCAGCAGAAGGCGGAGAAGGATAGTGGAGAACAGACGCGCCGCGCCGCCCGATCTGGAATATCTGCAGCGGCCAAGCTACTGCGATGCAGGGTTCGCCTTGGAGCAGATAGCGAAGGTGCTTTGTCGAGATTTCTCGTTTTTCTGTCTTCCAAATCTCATTTTCCCATAAGCGCCAGTAAAATGCTGAAAAGTGGGGTTGGGGGGAGGGAGGGAGGGAGGATGTTCTTGACTCCCGAAAGGTAGAAAGGCAGCCCTTCGTCCCTCCTACCTTGTACTGTGCTCGTTTTTCCAGCGTGTTGGTGGGTTTGCAAATCATCTAATCGCGTTTCCCCGGGAAGTGTGTGTGGATGTATGAATGGGACTTTCCTCTCTGTTCTTCACGAACGAGGCACTCTTCTGTCTACCCCGAGAAAACTTTCAAAGGACTTTGATTTTCTATCCAACCCTTGAAAAAAAAAAGTTTTGCCCAAGAAAAAGAATTCTAACGTTTTCCAAACCAGCACTGCTCCCCTCCCCTCTGTCCCTGTTATCCGGTTTAAGTGTGATTTCCCTCCCAAGAAGGCTCTCTTTTTCAGTGAATGTCGCGTTTCTTTTTTAGCGGTAGGGCAGAGAGTGAAAATTGTAAGCAAATTGCTAACTTCCACCTTTCCCGTCCTGGTGGAGATAATTCACCCCCCCCCTTCAGTACTCGAAGGAGATAACAGATTTGGCAGCGCCTTCGCTTCACTTCGCAGGGGACGGGAAGAACAGCAGCAACAAAAAGCAAAGGCAGCAGTGCTACGTGAATGAAAAGATGAGTTTGTTGGTTGATTTAAATATATAGAAAGCATCCGTGTGGCTGGTCCCTTCCATTCCCCAATATTGTGGCAATTTATAGACAGATGCTCGGTTTCCAAAGTCGAGATCATCCCAGCGACGCCCAAATGGCAATTGTAGACTGTAATTCTTAAATTTAGGAGGTTGCCAGCGCGGTGGGTAACCACGTGGGGAGCCAAGCAGGAGCCTAAGGAAGCAAGGCGGGGAAGGGGATGGCAAGATTCGCAGGGAAGCGGGCTTCAGCTCTTCCAGAGGGGGGTAGGTGGGGTAGGGAAGGGAGAGCCGCCTTCCTCCTCTTCTCTAGTCCATCCCAGGATTGTTTGACAGGTCGATTTATATTCCGGTGCTGGGACGATCGTTCTGGGCTGTAGCGCTATCCCGGCTTGAACTGAAGGGTCCCAGAAGCGGCGGTGTGTTGAGAAGGAGCGGATCGGGCGGTCGGAGGATCCCCCTCCTTGCAAGCCGGAGGGTAGGCGGATGTGGGAGGCGGCGGGGCGTCTGCCACGCTTTGCAGGTTGGCCGGCCTGCTCGGCTGCCCCGGTGGGTCCCGTTCCTGCCACGAACTGCCAGGCTGGGACCCTCCTCGAGCTGCTTTTCTTGCCGGCACATTGTGCTTTTCTTTGGGGGCCGGTTCGCCGGACTGCCTGGGCGTGCGTTTCTTTCCCGATCTCAATTTCTCCTCCTTTTCCTTGCTTTTCTAGGGGAGAGCTACTGGAAGAAAAGCGCCGCTGTGGCTGAGAGCGAAATTTCAGAGACTGCTATTTAAACTGGGCTGTTACATTCAAAAAAACTGCGGGAAATTTTTAGTGGTTGGCCTTCTGATCTTCGGGGCTTTTGCGGTGGGATTAAGAGCAGCCAATCTGGAGACCAATGTGGAGGAACTCTGGGTAGAAGGTAAGGATTGATCCCTCGCCTGGCTTCTCCTCCTCCTCCTCCCCCTCCCAAATGACAGCGGGGGTGGCTGATGGAACCTTCCTTTCTCTCAGGGGCAGAGCTGGTGGTTTATTGGTGTTGGCTGAAGGCCAGATGGACGCTCTCCTAATCCGTTTCTGGAAGTGATACCTTGTGAGATGGTCTGGGGATGGAAGGGAGGGCGGCTGCTTGGGTGGTGGGAAAGAAGAAAAGGGGGGTCCAGTTTGGACCTTGCAGATCCCCTCCCCTTCTGGCCGATTCTGCCTGTGTGTCCAAAGGAGCTGGTGCCTCTCTTCCCTCGCAGAGCATGAAAGAAACGTCTGTGTTGAAAGCGGCTCACCTCTTCCGCCATTTTGTGTGTGTGTGTGGGAGTGAGTGAGTGTGTAGGGGTGTATGTGCGTGCGTGTGTCCTGTTAGCAGCAGCCGCCGCCGCAGGAACAGGCTGAACGTGATCTGCACAGCTCTCAGTAGGGCTGTGCTTGTGTGTGGTCCTGTTTTTTTGGACAGCTTTCAGCTTTGAGAGGAAAAAACATTTGTTTCGAGGTAAAAAAAAAATGGAAAAGTGAAGCACAGACTGGACACATGTTGGAATATTTGCAAAGCAGATTCCTGGTCTCCCTCAGTTCAAGAGGGAGGCTGGTTTAACTGGAAGCAGGGATGGCTGCTTTTTTAATATTTTCCAGGGGTAAAATAATGGTTCTTAAGTAAAAAAAAAAAATCTCACAGTTGATCTGTTTTTTAAGATAAGTAAATTATGCAGATTCTATTTTTAATTCTCTGGGAGAAGTATTGACCAATCTGTTAATAGTAATTTTTTTAAAAAAATTATTTGACTCTTTAGGTTGGGTGCCTAACTAAATTGGGTTTATCCCCTGAAGGTTTTGCTAGTAACATTCATTAAAGGGGCCTCACAGCTCCAAAGTCACAGTGCATTGCACAAAATAGCCATTTCGGGAGGAGGGGTACTACTTCACAGAAAAGGACTACAGAGACTTACAGTGCCGTAATATATTTATTTAGAAGTAGATCCAAGTGGGTTAAACGGGACTTAATCCAAAGAAAATGGATAGCAGTAAAATGGTTTAAAGTTGCAGTGCAATTTTCCTACAATGCAGGCACTGGTTAGAGTTATAATGGTCCAAAGTCTTCCCCACTTGTCCATTATCTCAGCCCATTCATGTCCTGACAATATCGGTATTTTCCCTTTGCTGTAAATTGTCATGAGTGAAACAGCTTAAGTGTAGTTTTCCCTCTTAAGCTGACATGATCTCATTACAGCTTCAAAGTGTGTAAATTCTGCAATGCTTTCTTGCCTATCACCTTGGAGGCAGTCAGGTGATTTTTTTTTTTTTTAGCTGGGGTGTATTGAGGGGCTCACTGAGCATGTTCTCTTTGCTGGTCAGTAAAGTAGTCAGTTTCTCTCCCAGTGGTTGTATTGTGGGTTAGCAGTTTCTCACCTGAGTTTACACCTTGTCCCTATTTCTCTCCAGAACACCAGAGAAAAGATCCCCAATATTTTATATTGGGAAGAAGAGGAGGTATTTGTGCCACTCCACTTTAAGAGTAGCATGCAATGACGATAGAGTCCACACTTTTATGTGAGAAGAGGGACATCGCTTTCACAATATTTTGAATAGCAGCTGTGGGGATGTTTACCTTTAGTGCAACAGACCTGTTTTTCCTTAGTATGGTATCCAGAAATCAGTGAGAGATGTTGAGCCAGGTTTCCTCCCCCATCCCCTTTAATCAACCCTTTATATTTCCTTGGTTTAATCACTTCACCACCACCCTGTGGTGGCTTAACAAGTAATTATTTTCAAGGATCCCTTTTTACATCACTTGGCCTTCATGCTGGTTGTGGCTACTTGTGCCCTACCATTTTCTCATACTTTGCTTTTCTTTGTATAATTTTAAACTTGAGAGAGATCCAAATGGAATGGGGGGGGAGGGGAAGGGGAGAGAGAGAAGGGCAAGCAAACTAGTCTGAATAAGACCAGGCTAAGTCCTGAAGTCATATCTCATCCTGTTTCTGCTGCAGGGCCCTGATTAGTAGTCATGTCCTCTGCTTCTGAAAATGTGTTGAAAGGGCATGGCAGCATAGCTAGAAGGAAAACCAATCAGTCTGCCTGTAATAACTGGCATAGTCTGTTGGGAATTGCCTAGCCAAGCAGGGGGGAGGACTCAAGTGGGGAATTAGCTTTGAATCATTAGGCTGCTGTAAGAGATCCAAGAATGCCTCTCCACTCCCCCCACCCACCCAATAAGCTCCATGGAACCTTATCCACCTGTTACCAAGGTAAGGCAAGCAGTCTGGGGAAATTCCTGCATGATAGGTAGAATACAATAAAGTAGCTACTTTGAATTCTACACCTGTGGATCTGGTTGCTTGTGTCTAATACACTCAGAAGTCAGGAGAATAGCATTCAGCAGTGACTCAGAACACCAAGGGAAATTAAAGACTGGCAAAGTTTAGATCAGGCTTGTTGTATGGCAACTCAGTAGATAACACTTTAACATGGTAATGATGTGATGGACATTTTCTGCTGCCAAAGATATGGCTCCAGAGAACTGCCATGCTGACTTACTCTATAGGCCAAGATGTGCCAGTAGAACAACTGGGAAGGTATGGATTTATTAACCATATCTAACTCTCTTCATTTCATTGCCCCCACAGTTGGTACAGAATTAGGTCAAGCTGAGAGCAGTAACAACTAACTTCTTATTAACTGAATCCATTTGTCTATGGAGATCCTCAGTCATCCAGATCATGGTTGTCCCAAAGGCGCTTTTTTCAAGAGGCAACTGGACTTTCTGGTTTTTCTTTGAAGAAGAGCTGAAGAAGCTTCTTGGATGAGGAGTGAAACGTCTTCAAAGAAAAACCAGAAAGTTCAGTTGCCTCTTGAAAAAAAGCACCTTTGGGACAACTGAATCCATTGGAAATTCAAAAATTTCATGCAAAACTTTTCCCTTTATTGTCTCAACTCCCCTCCCCATTGTAACACCAATGTTGTCTTAGTTCAGAATTCTGGGAGCTGAAGTCCACAAGTCATAAAGTTGCCAAGTTTGGAGACCCCTGTCTTACTTGGTTTTGGCCATTTGGCCATTAAAGAAATGTATATGGTGTGTTAATGTTAACTAGCTTTTATTAAAATACTGAAACAATTCAGTCTGCAAATGAACATGGTTTTCATAATGATGGTTAAAGAAAAAGAATAAGGATGTTTGGCCAGCTGGATGGAGAGGAGAATGGTAGACAGAGTGTTGTGACTAGCTCACCATGTTGGGCACAGTCATGTAGGAAGCAGATGCATGGAGACTATCCTTTCCAGCTACAATTTATTTATTTACTTACTTATGCAAACTATTTGCAAACAATCCAAATAATGAATGTCCAAATCCACAAAGATTACTTCAAAGTTAAACAATATCTGCCAGATTAATGTCCTTGGCCAAATGCCTGAGGGAGAATTCTTTAATGTCGTGTGAAAGGCTAACAAGATTGGAGTCATCTGCATCTCCAGAGGGATGATGTTCCACAGGGTTGTCACTGTAACAGTGGAGGTACGATTCCTGGGTCCAACAAAGTGATGTTCTTTAATGGAAATGACTCAGAATATGCCTTTCTTGCTAGGTTTGATGGGGTCTTCCCTTGGCTGCCATATAATCTTAAAATTGATTAGTAGTTGATCAACATTTATCCTAGAGAGATCTTCGCATAGACAGTATCCATAACCATTCTGGTAAACCTCATGTAGATTTAAACCTTAGAAATCTTTGACCTTGAATCTCTTTGAAGCATTTGGAGGCTACAAATTGATGGCACTGCTACAAACTGATTTGTGCCATATTAAGTTACAGGACAGATATAGACATATTATACTTACAGGGCAATTCTGCCCTCACTTGACACCCCAACTGTGCTATTTATGTTTAATAATTTATGATTATTGGGTTTACAAATGTGTAATGAAGCAGCCACAAATGAGCTTGCAAGGAGTTATGCAGGATGACAATGCAGAAGTCATGCTAGCTGGGGAATAATGAAATTGAAGTTCATAAATTTTAAAATTGCCAAGATTGGATACTCCTGGTCTAAATTAATGATTGTTATTTCAATCAGTATGTTAATTTGCAGGACTATAAAAGGTAAATTCATGACCATTAGGAAAGAATAAAAAATAAAACTGTCAGCATCAGAATCTCATTATATAGATCTGTGATATGGCTTAACTTGTTACAATATTCTGGTTGTCACAGTTCAAAAAATGGCAACCCAAAATGATTTGGGAACAGGAGCATCTCTCTAACATTTGAAACCAGTATGAAATTTCTTATCACAAGATGAAATGATGGGACACATTTAATTTTTTTTAAGCAGTTACACAAATCATTGAGGATAAACAAATTAAGCAAAGTGGTCCTCACTTAATGACCACTCTTTCAACAACTGTTTGAACCTTTGATAGGTTCAAACCTGAATGAATAACATGAGCGGTCATCAAAGTTCTAGCCATCAGAATAATCCTACGGTCCCATGATTGTCATCCAGGCCCTTGGTTTTAGCTTGAATTTCCAACTGTAACAGCATCCCAGGGTCATTTGATTCTGATTTGCAACTTTTCCTGTTGGCTTCCCACAAGCAAAGTGAATGAGGAAGCTGGAAGGAATTCGAAAGTTACAGTCAGATGAGGTCCTGGTTTAACAGGTGGCAGTGATTCACTTGATGATAACCAGGGTTTGCCAGAATTGCCATTGCTAAGCTGGGCAGTCATGTGACATCAGCTTTATGGCTGCATCTCTTAGTGACAGAAATTTCTATCCTAGTTACTGTTGTTAAGAGAGGGCTACTGGTGTCCCTTTTTGAGGTTTAGTGTATGTGTTTGATTACAACTCATGTAAAGTGTCACTTTTTTAAAAAGGCTGGGGGGGGAACTGAATGCTGATTTAGATAGAGCATTGGTGTGATCTAGCACATTTGTTCA